AATCATAAAACAAGGTATTAAGTGACAAATTCCAGAAAGAATACCAGTAAAGTTATTGGATAGGTAAACAAAAGGAGCTATTACTTCTAGCTTTATGTGTTGGTGGGTTTAGAATGTGGGATGGTTTAGTGGATACAATCATAGGCACATGCTAGATAACAGAATTTGGACATATGACAATAAAGAGAAGGAGAATCTAGATTCAGAGAAGGAAAAGCATGGAACTTATATAGGGAAAGGTTTGTGGTTCTATCTGATTAAAGAATGGAATTCAGGGCCTGACGCAATGGCTCACACCTGGAATTCCAGCACTCTGGGAGGCTGAGGCAGGTGGATCATCTGAGGTCAGGAGCTCGAAACCAGCCTGGCCAACATAGCAAAACCCTATTTCTACTAAAAGTACAAAAATTAGCTGGGCATGGTGGCAAGCGCCTGTAATCCCAGCTACTCAGGAGGCTGAGGTAGGAGAATGACTTGAACCCAAGAGGCAGAGGTTGCAGTGAGCCGAGATCGCGTCACTGCACTCCAGCCTAGGAGACAAGCATGAGACTCCATCTCAAAGGAAAAAAGGGGAATTTAGGACAGGGAGCAACAGGAAATAAAAGTTGGGTAATAAGGTTCTGGGATGTCAGTTGGCACAAAAAACTAAAAACAATAAAATTAAATTTAAGTTGGATGGACTTCTAGTATTATGATGGCAGTCTGATGTCACTCCCCACTTTCTTCTTGAAAATTACCCCTTAGCAATTAGAAACAGAATATGACCTCCAGCTTTAATGACTAAGAGGCATATATGAACCAATTACCTAAAAATTAAGAGCAGGTAGAAGAACGATTGATGACTTAGCAGAGCAAAAGAAGGTCAAAGTCCATGTGTCTGAAGGAGATGCCAGGAAGAAGCTGCACTTCCAGAACCCTGAAAATGCTTAGGAAATAGATATACCCTTACCAAAGGCAAAAATGAGACAAAGGGCTAAGAACAGAAAAATCTGTCTTAAATCAGAGAAAGTCTGAGGCAGAAGAAATTTAACCCCTAATCATACTCAGTGACATCAAGCAAAAAGGATGGGCTGGAGTTAAGTACCAAGTACAGCTAGAAAGTTAAGGCTTTTTAAAAATAAAACAATTATTTACTTTCTTAAATGTTTTTAAATTAAAAAAATTAAATATGAATATATAGTTTAAAATATTTTTAAGCAGTTCTTCATCAGAAGTATTTTTTCAAAACACACATGCTCTATGTACCAAGTACCAAGTCTAGAGATTCTAATTTTGTAAGAGAGGGTCCAGGAACTTACATCTTGGAAGTTTCTTATTCTGAAAACCACTGAGCTAGTGTGAAAAAGAAATCTATCACCTAAACCTGTCAGAAGGTGAAATGGTATAGACAAATTATAAGCATTTTCTTTTTTTCCTTTTTTTTTTTTTTTGAGATGGAGTTTCGCTCCTGTTACCCAGGCTGGAGTGCAATGGCACAATCTCGGCTCACCGCAACCTCCACCTCCTGGGTTCAGGCAATTCTCCTGCCTCAGCCTCCTGAGTAGGTGGGATTACAGGACGTTCCACCATGCCTAGCTAATTTTTTGTATTTTTAGTAGAGACGGGGTTTCACCATGTTGACCAGGATGGTCTCGATCTTTTGACCTCGTGATCCACCCGCTTCAGCCTCCCAAAGTGCTGGGATTACAGGCCTGAGCCACCGCGCCCGGCCTAAGCATTTTCATTTACAGGACTACAGACAAGGTACTGTTGCAGGAATGAAGAATAGTGTAGTATCCGAAAAAATTCTCTGCCTTATGGAGTTTTTAATCTTGTAGAGAAGACAGAAAGTAAATACATAAAACATGTAGAACGCTGGAAGTTGATAAGAAGAAAAATACAGCAAAGAAGGGGTAAAGGGAATTGGGTGAGGACACTGCAATTTAAAATAGTGTGGCCGAGGAAGGCCGTACTTAGAAGGCAGTATTTTTGAATACAGATTTGAAGGAAGTGAGGGAGCAATGCAGATATCTGGGGAAAAGTGTTTCAGGCAGAGAAAATAGCTGAAGCAAAGGCCCTGAGACAGAAGACTGCCAATATATTTATTCAAGGGACATAAAGGAGGCCAGTAGAGCTGGAGAAAAGTAAGTGAGGGTGTGAGATCATAAAGGTAACAGGGGAGCTAAATTGTATAGGATTTCATGGGCCTGTGAAGGATCTTGGCTTATTCCTACTGAGGCAATAAGACATATGATTAAAAAAGTAAATATTTAAAGGGTCATTTATATATATATATATATATATATATATATATATATATATATATATGACAAAAGCAATGGAACTTGTTTACATAATTAATAACAAAAATAAAAACTGCAAGTGGTATCTGGAAACCTTAGCTCGCTAAATAAATCTAGACAATACCTAATACAGTAGTTTAAAGTAAGTGTTTGATAAATATTTGTGGAATAAACAGTTGGCGAATTTATACTGAAAAAGAGTTTTTGAAGCTCTTGTAAAATTGAAGGCAATTTATCAAGAATTTAACAACTATTCTAAGATGCAGCCTTCATAAAAGATTTCAGGGCAGTTTTATGGAGTATAACCTAGTAGATGTTCCTATTTCTTATTTTATATAGGTTTGGCAAGGAGGGGTGAACATAAAAATCTTTCAGAGTCATTTTGAAGCATTTCCCTTTTGTTTGTTTGTTTGTTTGTTTGTTTGTTTATTTATTTATTTATTTATTTTGAGACTGAGTTTCGCTCGTTACCCAGGCTGGAGTGCAATGGCGCGATCTCGGCTCACCGCCACCTCCGCCTCCTGGGCTCAGGCAATTCTCCTGCCTCAGCCTCCTGAGTAGCTGGGATTACAGGCACGTGCCACCATGCCCAGCTAATTTTTTGTATTTTTAGTAGAGACGGGGTTTCACTATGCTGACCAGGATGGTCTCGATCTCTTAACCTCGTGATCCACCCGCCTCGGCCTCCCAAAGTGCTGGGATTACAGGCTTGAGCCACCGTGCCCGGTTTGTTTAAAGAGTGAAACAGTGTTTTTTTGTTTGTTTGTTTGTTTTTGAGACGGCGTTTCGCTCTTGTTGCTGCTGCCCAGGCTGGAGTGTAATGGTGTGATCCTGGCTCACCACAACCTCTGCCTCCTGGGTTCAAGCAATTCTCCTGCCTTAGCCTCCAGAGTAGCTGAGATTACAGGCATGTGCCACCATTCCAGGCTAATTTTGTATTTTTAGTAGAGGTGAGGTTTCTCTATGTTGGTCAGGTTAGTCTTGAACTCCAAACCTCAGGTGATCTGCCCACCTTCACCTCCCAAAGTGCTAGGATTACAGGTGTGAGCCACCATGCCTAGCCCCATAGTTTTTTTTTTTTTTTTTTTTAAACAAGCCTATCTTTTAAGCTTAGGCTTTCCTGAGTTTTAGCTTTAAAAATGTGTTCTATATGATTCATAGTTAAACTGGCTTTGCTTTATTCTTTTTTTTTGATCTATTGCCTAGGCTGGAGTGTAGTGGCCTGATCTCAGCTCACTACAACCTCTGCCACCCAGGTTCAAGCAATTCTTCTGCTTCAGCGTTCCGAGTAGCTGGGATTACAGGTGCCTGCCACTGTGCCCGGCTAATTTTGTATTTTTAGCAGAGACAGGGTTTCACCATGTTGGCCAGGCTGGTCTTTAACTTCTGAACTTGTAATCCACCTGCCATGGCCTCCCAAAGTACTGGGATTATCAGGCGTGAGCCACTGAGCCTGGCCTGCTTTATTCTTATTAATTAAAAAACTTCATATATTTTCACCCCGAAGTCTGGTTTACTTTTTTCTAAATTGACCATCCATACCCTGAGCTCTAGGCTTCAGAAGAAAAAGGAATCGCGAAAGTGAAAAATCCACTTCTGATAGCTAGAGAAAGTAAATGTACTTTCTTAACCACTTTCACCATTGCAGCTTCCAAATGAGCCGATCTACTTTCTGATTGTCAGAACTGGCTTTCAACTTACTAAGTGATAAACTATCCCACGGACAGCAAAATAAAACTGTCCTTTAGTATTAGCATTGTGCTTCTTTTGCTTGATAATACAATTTTACAAAAACTTTTTTGTTTTTTTTTTGAGACAGGGTCTCTGTCACCTATACCAAAGTACAGTGGAATAATCAGTAAGGTCAGCCACTGCATCCTTGAACTCCTGGGCTCAAGCAATCATTCCACTTCAGCCTCTTGAGTAACTGGAACTACCAGGTACACACCATCATACAGAGTTATCTTTTTTTTTTTTTTTTTTTTTTTTTTTTTTAATGTAGAGGCAGGGTCTTGCTTTGTTGGTCAGGCTGATCTCAAACTTCTGTTTTCAAGTGATCCTCTCATTCAGCCTCCCAAAGTGCTGGGATTACAGGTATGTGTCACCATGTGTCACCTTAATTATTTGATTAACAGAAAAATGATGGACAACTACCTCCTTCAACTACTGAAATAGTTTCTAAAGGAATAAAAATATGTTAACTTCTGCTATCAGAGACAACTGCAGATATTTTTGGTACCATACCATGTTATGATTTGTTATGAAAAATATGAATTCTGAAGTCATATAATATTAAGAGCATTACCTTACATGGCCAAGAGATCATTGATAGATGAACATAAAAAAGTGTTTTAAAATTATTATTTGTGCTAGCGTATGGGGATTAAGCTAGAGTCAAATCTTTTACCAAGTGAATAGTCTACTTTCATTACTTTCTGTTTCTAACATTTGCATTGATAACTGTGAAAAACAAAAAAAAATTACATAAATCTAAATTAAACTATGTTAATTTGAAATGTGGGATCAATTCTAATTATTTAGATTTGACTTCTGATTTTTTTTTTTTTAAATCAGAGTATTAATTAAAATAGGCAGGAAGTAAGAGAACAAAAAACTTGGTTTAGCAGTTTTCTCAGATTGAAAAAATAACAGTAAAACCTCCAAGGTTAAGAATTACAAATGAGGCTGCTACACAAAGAAGACAGACCAATAGCTTACCACTTGAACCATTTTGAGATATCTGGCATATCTTGGATCCTTGGCTACAGTTAAGATATTTTCTGCTGATACTTCACTTTCCTGTAGTCCAGAGTCTTGTGTACTGTTCTGCTGTAGAGAGTATTTTGTGTAAATCTTTAGACAATTCACAAAAGGGGTCCATCATGTTACTTAAAAGGGATGTTTCTTTCCATAATTCTAAGGCAATAAATGGCAGAAAAAAATCATATCCCCAAATTTAAATCCCAATAATTTAATTATGAGATATGTTTCCAAATATCTACAAATATTTAAATATCACTTCAGAGGAGGTTACACTTCAACACTATATTGGTTCCTTAAAATGCAAGTATATTTATGCAATAAAATTAAAATTCTGCTTTACTTATCCTCAGAGTGATGACACAAAGCATGAATTATAGGTGGTTATACTATTTTAACAAAACTTTTAATAAAGCTAATGAAACTTATGAACTGTTTACAAATTAGTAAGTTTACTGAGATAATGATGAATTGATTTCCTAGGTATCTATCATCTACCTAATTGAGCCCTTTATTTATTAAATCATTTTATTCTAAGTGAACATGGCTCTTCTAACTTTTTAGAAAGCAATTTTTAGAGAATTTGTAGAACAAAATTATCTGGTTTTATATATTTCAGTTACTGATGGAACTATTAATGGTAACACTGTCTACAGAGTGGTTAAGATAAATTACTAAATATGACTTACAATAAAGAATACTGGGGAGTGGTCTTTTTAGACAAAAATGCTGTTGTTATACAGGCAGTCTTGGTACCATGCTACTGAAACTTGTGCATATCAGATCCATATCCTTGCTTAAGTGCAAAACTAGAACAGCCTGTATACAGTACTTGATTTTTCTATCAAACCAAACATTTAGAAAAAGCTTAATTTTGTGAATCTCATTATCTGTGTATAAGCATTAAGACGAATTACCTTAGCAGAAATCAATTTTATGTCTGTTGTCTATGCTGAAATACAGAAAAATCAATATCTTTCTATCTTTATAGTCTTTAGAATATGAATGTGAATTACACATTGAAGTTTTTCCTCAGATAATTCAAATATAAATTAAATCTGTCAAAAACTCCAAAGCAAAAAAAAACACCCAAAAATCCTTTAGGTTTCTTCCGTTACATGATATTGCTAAGCGTTACAAAAGTGAGTATATATATATTGATCTATAATATACAAAAATACAAAACTTTCTAAACACTGTTAAATAAAAAAATAAAATAATATCCAAGTATGTTTTTAAAACATTTATGAAAATTAAACTCATATAATAGCAAAATTGTGCAAATGAGAACTATATCCTGGCCAGATATCAGCTCTCAATTGTCAATTTTTGCATAATAACAAACACCTCAACAAGGTTTAATTATGAAATATATTATACCTTTGCTATTTGAATGACTCATTCAATACTCTATCATATCTCTCAACTGTCCTTCATTTATTCTCAAATCAATCTCAGTCTTCACAACTGGATATTCTATTGTGAATAATGATAAAATCGGAACCATGAAATGAAGTTTGCCGAAAAATCAGTATACAAAGCTTGCATCTTTGACTCGTGTATAGATTAGAAAGAGTGATAAATAATTTATTTAAAAAGTGCATTATTCTCCTTTATCTGATAATTGAGTTGACTAGAATGTCAATGAAAACTCTGCATTAAGTAATACTTAAGCCCATTTCAAAATATTTTGTATAAAATATAAAATATACCATTTAATAATAATGAAGAAATGAGAAGTTGATTTGAATATTAAGAACATGCTGAGCAGTTATTTTATTAAGCTAATCAACATACAACTTTATCACAATATTTCAAACTTTGGAAGCCAATAGAACTTCATAAACCCTCTAAATAAATATATGTACAATTTTAAAATAAAGCTGCCAGAGATATATCAGGTTATTCTCAATTTCCAAAGCACATTAAGAAATTCAGCTGTGATTACTGGTAATTAACTTTTTGGGACATTAAACATGTGAGGACCAACAAACACTGAATAAAAATTTTAAAGTACATATTATAGATGGCATTCATAATAGCACCTGGAAAAATTAATAATCAAAGTTAAGTACACTTAAAATTTTTATAAAAATATATGACAACACTGTCTACCACATAACTACTAGGTAGAGTAGAGAATATTTTCTTAATATTCTTTATAGGTGCTTGGTTTTAGAAAGAGGATAGTCATATTTAATTGAGATAATGTAAAGTTAAACTCCTCTACAACATCTGGATATTCTCTTGTACATTTTATATATTTGAGTGGCCATGATAATGAAATTTGCTATATACATATATATACACACACATACATATACACACATATATATGCATATACATATATATGTATACACACACACACACACACACACACACACACACACACACAGTTTTTCTTTGTTTTTGAGATGGAGTCTTGCTTTGTCACCAGGCTGAGTGCAATGGTGCAATCTTGGCTCACTGCAACCTCTGCCTCCTGGGTTCAAGCAATTCTCCTGCCTCAGCCTCCTGGGTAGCTGGGACTACAGGTGCGCGCCACCACACTCAGCTAATTTTTGTATTTTTAGTAGAGACGGATTTCACTATGTTGGCCAGGATGGTTTCAACTCTTGATCTGTCTGCGTCAGCCTCCCAAAGTGCTGGGATTACAGGCATGAGCCATCGTGCCCAGCCAAAATTTGCTATATTAAATAAATGGATGTTGAATTTTATAATGTATAATTAAGTAAACGATCGTCTAATTTATTACACAAATACATACCATATTCTAAACATTTGGCTCTTTCTACAGGGCCTCATACCACACATCATCAATATATTTAATACATTGAACACAGGTAGTGAAAACAGTGTGGTGTAGTGTAGTACAGTGTAGTGTAGCAGGTAAGTGCTAGGGCTCATGGCATCAGACTGTCTGGCTTAAAATTCCAGTTCTTACATTACTTTTTGACCTTTGGCAAGTTACTTAACTTCTATATACCTCATTTGACCCATCTATAAAGTAAGATAATATAGTGCTTATATCATAGGACTGCTGTAAAGATTGAATGGAGTAGTTTACGCAAGGCACTTAGAAATGTGCATGCCCTGGTACACAGTAAGCACCCTTTATGTGTTAGCTATTGTCATCATTGTCAACATCATCATGATCTAAAATATATCCTGAAAAAGTACCTCCAGGTATAAAGGCAGAATTCCATTATACAAGTCTATTTGTTTTCTTTGTTTATTATTATTACTTCGGTAGGCCACCATTTTGATGATTATTTTGTTTTAGATTTTAATACCTCATTGAGATACACTAGAGACTGTTCTCAAACAACAAATAATCTTTATTTTTTTGAAAAAAAAAGTAATAAAAAATTTTACAGAAGCTTAAGTGAACATTAAGATCTAAGAGCCAAATATAAAGTATAGCGTTTACTAGGATGCTGATTCAAATGAATCAACTTCAAAAACACACATTTTAGACAACTGGTATTTCTAAGATCAGTAGCTCTCAAATTTCAAGAGCCTACATATCACCTAGGGATCCTGTTAAAATGTAGATTCTGATCAGTAGTTTTGGGGTGGAGCCTGAGATGCTTCATTCTACCAAGCTGCCGGTGATGGCCATGCAGTTGGTCCATGGGGTATACTTGAGTAACAAGGGGTTAGACAATAGCAGGAATTTTTTTTTTTTTTTGAGACAGAGTTTTGTGCTGTTACCCACGCTGGAGGGCAGTAGTGCAATCTCATTTCATTGCAATCTCCGACTCCTTGGCTCAAGTGATTCTCCCACCTCAGCCTCCCGAGTAGCTGGGACTAAAGGTGTGCGCCACGATGCCTGGCTAATTTTTGTATTTTTAGTGTAGATGGGGTTTCACCATGTTGCCCAGGCTGATCTTGAACTCCTGAGCTCAAGCGATCCACCTGCCTTGGCCTCCCAAAGTGTTGGGATTATAGGCGTGAGTCACTGCATTTGGCCAATTATTGTTAATTATATTGTATACAATAAAGGCATTTACATAAGAAAAATGTTACAGAAGAAAATGTCAAAACTTTTCAGAGATGCTCAAAAATTTATGCAGGGGTGAGATGACATGATGTCTGAAATTCAGCAAGTGACAAAAAAATAGATGAAGCAATTGTAACAGAATCATAACTGATGAATCTAGGTCTATTTTTGTGTATGTTTTAAAATTTTACAATAAAACATTTTAAATGTACATTTCTTATAAGAACTTAGAAAAATTTCTAATTATTTTCAAGAAAATAATTATTTGATGATTTTTCCTAGTCTTAAACAGATTGATTTTCTTTTTCATAGGCAAAGAAAGTATTAATTTCAGGAAGGCCTTCAAAATAACACAGCAAATTTGTTTTTCCCAAACTTTATATTCTATGTTAAGGTTTTAAAATTTTACTATTAGAAGTTTTACGTTTTTATTTTTCTTCCTTCCAACCTGCTGCTTAAGACTATCAGTTTCAACGAAGAACATCTGCTCATTTCTTAGAACTCACCTGTGGTTGCTCTGAAGTGGCTTCAGGATGTGCTCCATTTGTGACACTCGTGACACTTAAAGGAGATACTTCAACTGTGACATCATCTAGGCCTGGGATAGATGACAACTGAGCAAAGAAAATTGGTATTGAACTATAAAGATAGATTCTGCATAGATGAACACGATACGTTTCCAGGTTTGTGTATTTTTAATAGCGGTCTTAAGTTTTAAGTCTACACAAATAGGTTCATAAAATCTTGTTTTTAATTCTCCATGTCATAAACTAAAGGGGAAAGATATAAATACTTTTGAAGAACTTCTCAAAAATCTAATTTAGTTTATATAAAAAGCTATGTCATTTATATCATTTTCAAAATGTAGACAATCATAGTGTAAGGAATGAGAGCCTGGTCTTTGGGGTCAGACTGTCTAGGTTTAAGTTTTAGTTCTACCACTTGCAAGCTGTGTGATCTTGTATAAATCTCTCTATGCCTCAATTATCTCACCTGTAAAGTGGAGATAAGAAAATGTACCTAGTAAAGTTGTTGTAAAAATATTTCTATTAATAATACTTTGGAAAAAAAGTGCTTTGTACAAATTTTGAGTTTGAATTATCTAGGATATGACAAAAATCTTGTCTTTACACTTTAATGTATGACACAGCTCATTCTTTTTTCTTTCTTTGAACACTCACCACTGAATGTTATTAAAATGTTTCTTGTATGCAAAAAAATAGGCATATTGTTGGCATTTCAACCTGAAATGGTTTAGCATTTCACTATGAAACAGTTAAGCATTTCAGGTTAGATCTGCAAGACCCATGCAAACCTTCTTTTCTGAGTTCATCCCGATATCAATGACACATATTTGGCAGATGTTTGGCTAATTTTGGGGATGACTCTATGGCTATGGGAATAACTAAGGTTAAGTTCTCCATATGGTAACTTAATGTGTCACCTTGGACTCTAACTCCATATGAATTCCCTAAACACTAAAATAACACACATATTCATAATAAAGAGTCATTTAAAAAACCAATGATAATAAGATCTCAAGCAGCAATACTCATTGAAAACTGTTGACTGATAACCATAGTTAGCATAGTGGCTACAGCCCAAATAGTTTCAAGTGGTTATGGCCGCTAAAAGAATATCTAAACACGTTCAAGGCCAGGTTTTCAAACTAGAGAAATGTTCTAAGAGAAACACAGGTGCTGAAGTCCATAAGGAGACCTAGAAAGTGCAAACTAGATATTCTGGTCATATTCAAATGAGATATAGTTTTTTTCTTCCTAATAAATATTCACTGAATATTTCTTAGTTTTTTTTGGTAAATGGACAAAGGAAATATTAATTTCAGAAAAGTTAGTCATGAAAATACACTAGTGTCTCCATAACTTTATAAACAGAAAAAAACCATGTGAAATATATGTATATTAAAAAAGAAACCAAACTAAATATATCAGTTATCAAAATCTTTAAGCTTTCAATCTAAAACAGTCTCCTATTTTTCTTAGTTCTCATTTGCAATTTCTGACATCAAAACTGGTATTCTTCATTAGTATTTAAGATATTTGCAAACAGAAACAGCTGATATTTTCTCCAAAGTTTGTTCTGAGACATCTAAAGGTTTATATAATTATTACTGTATTATCAAATAACTAGTAAAATAATTTTGGAATTTTCTATCAAATGAAGTGAACTACCTAACAGCTGAACTTGTTAACATGTTACTTGCATTATGCATTTGCCTATCTCAAACTACGTGCACATTTGAATTAATGTTTCATAATGAACACCATTTTCTTTGCAAATGTAGTAAAATTAAAAACACAACCAGTATCACTTCATAGATACAGAAGTTAAATGGAATCATTCCTAAATGCAATGAAAATTAAGTATGATTAAGAAAGCTGGTATATGTACAGCAAAGTTTATACTACAAATTATTCAGAAATACAAACCTTTGCATCTAAAATATTGAGAGTTGTTTCAATTTGTTGGATACGAAGTGAAAGGTCTGCCAGTTTCTGGAAAAGAAAAATTAGAGACAAAAAATAAGAACTGATTAAAATAAACTGTTAACAATACTAAGGGAAGATTTGAAAATATGAAAAACCATGGTTTAAATATTTGTCATGTTTTAATATATGAGTAGGAATGAGAACTCTTCTATTACCTGTATTAGAATGCTTCTCAGTTATTTTATAAAATTATATTCACTTTTAAGATAGTAACATTTTCACCTTTAGCAAACTCATTATCAGAGCAGTAAACAATTGTTGAGACTAGAATATAAACAGCCCAGGACAGAATCTTTTGTTTACTACCCTGTCTTTAGTGTCCCGAATAATACCTTGACACTTAACAGGGGCTAAATAATTATTTGTTATTGAATGAAGAATTTTTTTCATTCAAAGACACTCTGTAACATGGTCTGCCTTTATAAATTACTTAAATGAATAAGCATATACAATTTGTCCCAGATTTAAACATCTCTACTTTGAGAAATAAAGCGGGATGAAATTGGAAGATGAGTAATTCATTTTGGAAAGAGTTAGAAGATAAAAAATTAGAGTATTAAAAAAAATCTATCACCAAAATGCAAGATAAACCAGATTGAAGAGCTTATCATGCTTGTCACTCTGTATAACTAAATTATTAATATACCTTGTAAATTTACACCTACACAAAGAAAGTAACATCATAAAATATTATCTGTAAGAACATTTACTTAAAACCTCCTAATCTGAAACATTATATTCAGTCACACAGTCCAAGAGCAGTAGGCAGATACACGCATCCTGACTGTATTCTGGGATATTTTAAAAATCCTGACTATTAAGTGGAACTTTATCATCTTGTGAAACTGTCACCTGCCTACAATTAGAGGGGGCAAAAACTGAAAGTGGCCACAAAGTAGAGAGTGCTTCTTTACAGGTTACTTATTTTTAGGTTAGCATCTTGATATCCACAAAGATTTCAAGATAATCTATAAATAAAACATTAGGATCTAGTTTTCATGGTATCAAAGCTAAATCTACTCTTAACTTCAGAATTCATTCACCTAAAGCTTTTAAGTAAACACTAATACAGGTTTATAACATGTATTATGGATGAATCCCTCTCCAAATTATAAGTGTATTCCTTAAATCATAGAAATTTAATTTTGGCAAATCTCATCGGTCTCAATTCACTAGAGAAGAAATTCTACAGCAAATTAATATGTAAAATGAATGATAATTTTCAACTTATTTAAAAATGGATGTAATGGTTTGATTGAAGGAAACAGAAAAAGAAACAAAAAATTAAAAAATTTTTGTGCTTTCATATACCTATATAAGTATGTACTTTTAAACAATAATCATCAATATTGTAAATATTTGAGCATTTACCTTAGTACATATGCTACACTGTATATGCAATACATAATTTGAAATCTTACACTAAATCTATGAAGCAGGAACTATTATGCTAGTTTTAAAGATAAGAAAATTGAGACTCATACAATTAAAATAACTGTACTCAAACCCTTTAACTCCAGAGGCAATACATTTCATCAGAATTTTTGAAAGAATTTTACGTTGTTAAGATATAATGGTAAATTCTTGGGTGTTGCATAGAATTTTTATTATCCCAAGCTAATAAATGATCAATTCATTTCTCACTATGATGATTCTGTGCCAAGAGGAAAAGCCTTTTGCTCTTCTGATTTTGAGCGGATCATTTACAAAGTGGTTCTGAACTATAGTACATGAACCAAGACAAGAGAAAAAATTCTACCTTTATTTTTATCTACTTCTAGCTTAAATTTGGAATTAAAAAAAAAGATGAAGTAAAGAAAAAAAAAATCACCATAGGCCAGGTGCAATGGCTCATGCCCATAATCCCAGCACTTTGGAAGGCCAAGACAGGTGTATCACCTGAAGTCAGGAGTTCGAGAGCAGCCTGGCCAACATGGTGAAACCCCATCTCCACTAAAAATACAAAAAAAAAAAAAAAAAAAAAGGCTGGGTTTGGTTGTGTGCGTCTGTAGTCCCAGCTACTTGGGAGGCTGAGGCAGTAGAATTGCTTGAACCTGAAAGATGGAGGTTGCAGTGAGCTGAGATCATCATGCCACTGCACTCCAGCTTGGGCATCAAGTGGGACCTTGTCAAAAAAAAAAAAAAAAAATTCACAGTGGTTTTAGAATCTATGACTGTCACCAATAGAAATCATAGATTTTTAAAAATCATATTACAATTACTACAGATTTCTTTATACTCAAAATTATGGTTATTAGACATACTAAAGGATTCTATAATCTGATGCTTTAACAAAGAACCTACCAGTATATCATAGTTTTGGATTTTTTAAAGTACATAACTGGTTTCTTTTGTAATCTTATGCATTTTATTTTATCCACCTGAAAACAATGATTTGGTTTCACTAGACTGTCAAAGTGTCCATGGCATGATAAAGAAAGAACTATTTTTCAAAGATAATTCAGTCTGATAAATGGTTTTGTCTGTTACAATGAATTTATTGCTATAACATACACGAATGTATACCTTTTACAGAGCCATCGTCAGCTCAAAAGGTATACCTGGGTTCATTTATGGGTTGCTGAAGTTCATTTCTAAGATGTTTATGCTTGTGGCATTTTCATTATATAATCCCCAGACCACTATAAAGCAGGTTTTTAAACACTGGCTATATTGACATTTACGGGTGAAATATTCTTTGTTGCAGAAGACTATTCCGTGTACTACAAGTTGGGTAGCAGAATCTCTGGTCTCTATCCAATAGAGATTAGTAGTCTACTAAATGCCCATAGCACTCCCCAGTTATTACAATAAAAACACCTCTAGACATAGCCGCATGTCCCCTGGTTGAGAGCCACTGCTCTATAGTATGGATGACTATGGATATCACATAAGTAACATAATCAGTGACAGTAGCTGTCCTCTGTAAGTTTTAGCAAGAGGAAATGGAAAGGTAACAGTCTTTCTCATCCATTTAACCATCGTCTTTATGAAGACTAAAAATAAACTTGAAATGCTATGGTTTGGGATAACAGGGGAATTTACAAAGTACCTGATATTTGTCAGATAAGCTGAAAACTTAATCTATTTTAAGGCAATACATTTTATAAAGTCAAAATAAAAGGATAAAAGAAAGAAGGAAATATGGAGTTACTAGTTGAATATGGAAACACAATAAAACACTGGTTTTTCACGGATGTAAAATATCTAACTTATATATCCATTTCTCTAAAAGAGAAACAGTATTTTAAGATAATGGATCTCTTGGTATATCCCACTGTGTTGTATGTGTCCCAGAAGCCAGAAAAGGAAACAATCAATGGTTTTAATTAGGTTGCATCTGATACTTAAGTCCAGAAGTTGTTAAAGATATAAGAGCAAATAAGGATTTAAGCAAAACTTTACCTGATTAAAGGTTAAGTCCAACAATGGCAGGTAACAAGCATTAAAGAAACTTTTAGGTTATGTGACAATTCTCAGCACTTTTGCTTGTACTTAAAAATTTTAGAAAAAGGAATTTCAGAATATTAAAAATTATTTAAAAATCCAATATTTAGGCATATAATAAGTCTGAGTTTGGCAGGGGGCATCTGTAATCCTAGCACTTTGGGAGGCCGAGGCAGGGAGATGGCTTGAGCTCAGGAGTTCAAGATCAGCCTGGGCAACATAGTGAAACCCTGTCTTTACAAAAAATACAAAAAATAAGCCAGGTGTGGTGGCACGCACTTGTAGTTCCAGCTATTTGGGGCAGTGAGGCAGGAGGTCTAGGCTGCAGTGATCTAAGATCACTCCACTACACTCCAGCCTGGGTGACAAAGTGAGAACCTGTCTCAAAAAAACAACAATAAGTTTGAATCAGAATACATTCTGGCCAGGTGCAGTGGTTCATGCCTATAATTCCAGGCCTTGGGAGGCCAAGGCCAAGGGATGACTTGAGCCCAAGAGTTGGAGACCAGCCTAGATAATGTAGTGAGATGCCATCTTTAACACACACCCACATACACATATAGCCGGGTGTAGTGGCACATGCCTGTAGTCCTAGCTTCTAGGAGGCTGAGGTGGGAGGATCACTTGAGCTGAGATCATGCCACTGCCTTGCAGCCCGGGTGATAGAGCAAGACCCTGTCTCCAAAAAAAAAAAAAAAAAAAAAAGAAAGAAAGAAAGAAATTTATATTATTAAAAAAATAACACATCTGTCTGACACGTCTGTTTACAAAGTACCTCTGACTTTAAGGTTCACTATAAGGTTAAATGCTCAGGTTTTACCTGCAATATGCATAGATCTTACATTGCTTCCTGCCAATCCCTCAAAATTTGCAGTCCCAATGGATGACCATAGTATTCTGCTGAGTAAAGCAAGAATAAAAATGCTCACTGGGGATTTGTGAAGGAAGAGGAGATGACCCTAAGTACCCCTGTAACTCTACTACTTTCTCTGTCATCTAATCTCTCTTCTACTCTGGTGCCAATCAATGGAAGAGTTACAAAAGTAGCCTAATAGGCAGAAAGTGTTTGAAAAGTTGAGTTCTTCACAGAATGCAGTTTATACTCTTCTCTTTAGTGAAGAACTCTAAAAACAGTGTCACTGATGAGGAAAGAACCTAGCAATTTGTTTCAAACTTAATTCTGGCTTGAGAGTTTATCTGTGACTGAAGTTGCTTAAGTTTGGGTCTGGTTCAAACCAGATCCTGTGGGGGGTGGAAAAAGTTTCCTTTTTCCTTCCAGTTCACTCTCAGTTTAAAAACTAACAGTTAAGATTCCTCTTTTATTGAGAGAAACAGTCAGTTTGGTTCTTATTTAAGGCTTTAAATAAACAAAGACTAGAGGCCATTAACAAAAAACATTTCAAAATACTGAAGTGATTTTAACTTGGGAGAAAATGACACCTCACATTTGAATACACATATCCTTCGAATTTACATAAAAAATATATTACATCAAACAGACATGGCATAGCAAAGGAGTGAATATGAATCTAAAAATAATTTTAATATAGCTATAAGAA